GAAAGCAAGCTTGTTAGCAAAGCTGATAAAGAAGAAATACATTCCAAGGCTAGGTCAAGCTATAGTGAGGCTGATTATAAACAATTTCCAAATGTCTCATTTTCATCGAAAGACCATTATCAGCGCGACCATCCAAAGGATTATGTTCAAATACGAGCTGAAAGAATGGATTATTCGTTGATTCATCATGAGTAACATCACTTGCACGATTGTTTGTTGCTAACTCCCCTTCATTCTGTTTTGTAATAAAATCTTCCTTCACCCTCACTATTTGTGGATATAAAGTACCCTCAGTGGAACCATCATGCACGCTTAAGCTTCCTAATGCAGTTTCTGCCTGAAAAGAATCAGGTCGTTGGAGGAATTTTGTGGTCACTGTATCAAAAATTAAAGATAAAATTTCTGTGCTCTTCCCATGAGGATCTTTCTTTAATACAAATGAACCAGTCTTAAGTTCTGTCTTGAATAAAAGTTTTGTCCACTAATGTGAGAAATTTGAAAGATATGAGATTGATAAATGCGTATATTAAGCAAAAAAGAATCTGCTAAAAGATTATACTGTTAAAAATATGAATTGCTAATAACCTCTTTGGGCAATTCAACAGATGGGGCTACTTCTGATTCGTCATATTCGATGGCTTCATACAATTCTTGAAGCTGTTCGTCAGTCCAAATAGTATCGTCTGAAGGCTAATATACATTAAATTTTGTTTGTTTTCAATAAGCTAATAACTAATAAATATAACAAATATAAATGAAAAACATCTTACGCCTGACGATTGTCCGCTATACCACCAACCACCAAACCAACCACTACTTTTTACTTGTTGTTGTTGTCGTTCTCTTTGTTTCTTGGCTAAAATCAATTGTATATAATGATTAATAATCAATGATCGTTCATATGGTATAAAATTTCCAAATTACTAGAAGCGAACCTATTAATGCCCTTTCCTTCTTCAATTGTGATTTAGCAATCGACCTATAAAATAGGATATCTTCGTAGCTAAGTTTCCACTCTAAAGCTTCTAACTTAGATGCATTCTAAATAATAAATGGACAATATATACGTAAACAAGGAAACAAAATAATAAGAATTTACTTATGCAAATTTAAGCAAAATAAAGACCTCTGGAGTTATTTTTTCAAGTTGCTTTTCTTTATATAATTTTACATAGGTATGTCGATCATCACGGCGTTCTTTAAAGTATTCCCACGTCAATTTACGATTGCGTTCCTTAATTTCTGAGATAATACAATTTCCAGCAAATTGAAGCCATGCTCTTGGATTTTTTTTAGGAGTAACATCTTTGGGAGGCCTGAATTTTCGATACTATGTAATTTGAACATATTCATTATGTGATTTTTCTTTGACTACACCGGAAACCAATTAATCGATTTTCAGTACCTCTTGTTGTCGTAAATAAAAATGGAACAAATCAGTCATTAGCAACGCATCCCTGTATTGTTCATCATCAAAGATAAACCCAAGTTCATCAAATAAAAGGATTGCCGTCGTTTTTGGAGTATTTAATTCAAAATGCTTGTTAAGCGTTATCTAAAAAAAAATATATAAAATAAAAAATAAAAATAAATAAATTACGCGAATTCTCAACCATGAAATTAAAGTTTTGTTGAAGCAAAACATACACGTCCAATTCCAGAAACTGGTTTCAGTATATATTGATGTTCTGATGGAATGTTTTGTTCGGATGCAATCTGGTTGTTAAAAATTATTTATGCATTAATATAATTTACGGAAATTGAAATAAAATATTTATTATAATAATCTATAGAGACTTTTACCAGGCTAGTAAATACTTTAATAGATTCTTTTGTAGCATGCCCGGAAATGGATTTTGAATCAGTATTCCAGTATGCGGCCAAAGACCCTAATTTGATTAACTGAAGTATTTATGAATTTTAATGACCGTTATAATGCGAATTTGTCTGTTAAATCGACCAATCACGTAAATAAAACACCAATATGCTTACTTTATTTATTGAACTGGTTTCTTCTTCGATAAATGTAGGCTCCCAGTTTGAATTAGTTGATATAGCAGAGAATTCTGACAGAGTAAGTCCGACTGCAAACGGATGCTAAATTGCCATAGGGATCAATTGAATTAATGATCCGTAATCAGAAAGTATGAATGGGCACTGAAAAGAGAATACACACCCCTGGATCACTTAGTTTATCTTCATAACGAATGTGAATGTTATTAATAGATATCTGCAAGTTATCAACAATTTTCGTGACGAGTTTGTTTATAAAAGATTGGTTTTTTTGATCATCCTCTTTTGAAAAATGTGATAGAATTGTTATCAATATAAAGTATTTAAAACGTGGTAAAGGATAACCAGTATTTTAGGAATCAAACCTTCAGCTAGCTCACTGGGGGCTGTGTGAAGAAGTTCTGCATTTGCTAATTGTTCTTGTTTAACTTGTTGAGCTCGTTTCTCGTCTTCTTCAGGATCATACTTTTTAAATTTAAATGAAAGTCATCGCGTGACTGATTACGACGCGAAATTTACAAATCAACCTTGAAATTTATATTACCTCAGATTCAGCTTTTGGAACCGCTAAGAGAAAGACGTTATTTATGACAACTTTAACAGGCTTATTCTTTAAATTTGACCAAGGAATATTTAAAGTAAGTTCTCCCAAATATCCTAATGTATGAGAATAATAAAGCATTACAAATTTGAAAAGACACAATTCAAAAGCTATAGACTGAAGAACCAACATTTATTCATAAATGCCATACCTTCTAAAACGTCAATTGGCAAATTAAACTTGTCAAGAGCTTCTTTTTTGAGTTGTAAGTCTCTCAGGACAACGTCACCTTTAAAAGCATATACATAAGTTTAGTAATTCTGGTAATTCTAAAAAATAAGAGAATTATACAGCAATTACGTATTGACTTACCTTTCCATATTGCAATATTTAATTGTTTGCCTTCAAGATTGGAGACATAATCTCCAAGAAAGCGATTCAAAACGGTAGTTGCCAGAGATTCGAGCATAATATATGGAATTAAAAGAATTAAATAAAAGGAAGGTTCAGCTTCAGTATTAATTGTGATTAACTTTTATCGCTGATAATCGAAATCACATGATCACAGAAACCCTAAACTTGGGGTATTAGCACATCATGACGTTACGTATGCCAATTCCAGGATTCTACGTATTATTCTAATTGTGTATAAATCTGGTAACTTAGATAAGTCTCTAAATTGCTTACGTACATACCGTACGTAGATGAATTTTTACCGGGTTGTTCAGCTTGATACTCAGTCTAGTATAGCTAACTTTTTTACTGTTTACGTTTACATTTTTAGCCCATCGTGATCGCGACTGATATTTTTTACGTACAGTTCGTGAAATATAAAAAAATTAGGAGGCGTAAGATAAAATTAATTACTCCCTGATTTTAAGTGTCATATGATACAGTCGGCCCTCTCAGAACCGGTATGCATGGTGGACGGGTTTAGTATCGGAAATGGCAGGTTATCGGTTATTACTTATGGAACGGGTCTGGTAGATTGATTTTTAACCGATTTTGGCAGGTTATCGGTTTTGACAGGATCGGTTCTGAGAGGGCCGACTGTATTAATATTTTTTTACATGTATGCGTTTGTACGCTTTTGAACATATATAGACATGCATTTCATAATAACCTAATCAAGCTTTCATAATGTCATCCACATCCACATCAACATGACCTCATGCATCGTGGCCGCAAGTGGAATCAGTGGCGAAACCAAATTTAAAGGTAATCCGTTACGCAAATTAAAACACTAAGTGTATTAACCCTATATATCGATGTTGATTGAACTTTGACATCAGATCCAACACTATCTATACATATTCATGATTAGGAAAATTGTTATAAGCCTATCCCCCGCATATAAAATCCTTTAGAAGCATTTTTTTTATTTTTTTATTTTTTTTGTTTTTTTACAAGGTTCATTTATTTCACGAGTAATGCAGACACAAAAAAACGCTTTTTTAAGTACTGTAATCAATTGAGTCGACAGTTCGGGTTTATTAATAGAAAAGTCATGGCATAAAAATTTGGCGACACGTAAACGTAAATCATTTTTCGATCCGATAAAATCATCGCGTTTGCGGAAAAAAGCGCACTTTAGGGATGGTCTAAACCAGTCTGGACCAGTCCAGACCAAGACTGTGGACTATTCAAACAGGATCAGAACTGGATCAAAATTGACAAGACTGGACTGTTAACAACCTTAGCACAATTCATATAAAAGGACATTTTAGGACCTGTCGCAGCAGAAGGTTGGTGGTCCTACCCGAACATAGGACAAAAACCCGTGAGCATGTGTTTGGACTTTTTTGGATATTCTGACAAAAATTTTTACGTATTAATAATTTTAATTTTAATATATATTTATACTTAGGCCGCACAAATTTAATATCTTGGTTTTCATAACATAAAACTTTTAAACAGACCCGGCCGGCCGGCTTTTTTTTTTAAATTTCATATATAAAAATTTTATAAAATTTTTTTAAAAAGCCTACCCGGTTATTAAAACATATAAAAATTTTTTTTTACAAGATTTCAAATTTTGACCCGGCCGGGTTATGAAAACCAATTAATTAATTTTGCATGGCCTTATTTTCCGTATTTTAATTTCCTAAGTAAAAATATTCCAGAATTGATAATTATTGAAATTATTGAAATTTGAACAATCTTGGACATTTGGACGGGACATGCCAAAAAGGCCTTGGAGATTGAAATGTACAACACTACCCTCGAGAACGGCTCTACCGCTATTGGGAACCACTACTGCGTAAGCATCATTTATGGTCACGTGAACTATTAACAGGTATAAACAGGTGTGTATATATATACATAAACAAATTTAATAGTCTCTCACGTTTTTTTTTTTTTTTTTTATCGGAAATTTCGCGTTTCTCTTATCGCATTTTTAGGTCTGAAGCAATGTCATCCTCCGAAGAGAGGAAAAAAAAGCTTGAGGAATTAGCAGAAAAAGCTAGGGCAAAAGCCAAAGCCGCTGAACGGTACGTTCGAATTCTTTCGTGAAATTCGATTATTTGGAAGCAAAGGTTACAAGTAGCGAACAAATAGTAGTTTAATAATTTAAATCGTCTTTAAATATAATAACAAAGTGAGGAACAGGACGAACGCAAGGAATCGGCAAAAAAAACAAGAGCAAAGGCAAATTCCAGTAGCTCTCCGAAAATTAAGAAAACGAATGTATCTTCTAGCTCTTCGCCGGCCAAGAGTAAACCTCTTCCTCCTTTAGGGGGGAGTGGAAGAGCTGCACGTCTGGAAGAATATGAAGACGATGGATTTATTGTAGATGATGAAGGTTAGCGCAAATTTTAGGTTGAATAAAGAAAGGCAAACTACTCATATTACATATATTTTATTAGAAGACGTATCTGAATCAGAAAGTAAATCTGGTTCTGAAGATTTTGATGTATCTGATGAACCATCGGATTCAAGTGATCCCGGATCAAAAAAAAAGAAAAAAGTCGCGTCTTCGACGAAACACAAAAAATCAAGCAGCAGCAACAAAAAAGTAGGGAACAATGATTTCGAAGATATTGTGCAAATTTGCATACACATATATATTAAGTACTATCTATTAATGATGATTTGTATACCGAATTAAAACTTTTTGAAGGTGACAAAACGAAAGAAAGATGAAGAAGCATCTGATGACGATGAGGTCGTAGTAAAGAAGAAATCTAATAAAAAAAAGAAGCGTAATGATGACGATTCATTTGATGAAGATTCTGTTGGTGACGACTCAGATGATTTAAGTAAGTTTATATTTGGTCCTTATCTCTTTTATGTAATATTTATTTATCGTATTTATCTTTCAATTTAGAGCATGAACTCGAAGGCCTTGATACCTCTACAATTATTCCGGGACGGAGAACAAGGGGGAAACGAATAGATTTCACGGGACAGGTAGATAATAAAATTAATTTACAAACATTTATTAGGTCACATTTATTCAAAAAAATTTTTTAAATACGACATAGGACCCATATGATGATGATTGATTATTGGGATTGCAACCCAGATCTTTTTTTGAATTGCGTAGTTTGGGTTGGAAATCGGGATTTCTACTTAATTTGGGATAATAACCAAAACCCAAATATGTGTCCCATTTTCGCTTAGTGGTATCAAGCTCAAAATCGGTCAAATTTATTGAATCAATGCTATAAATTATTAAATTTTCGTTTTCATTTTCAAATTATGAACTTAAGAGTGATTTAACGACTAAGCAGGGTTGTTAAATAAATTGGTATGCTAGGTCTAATAGTTGTTGTACCGAAGTGTATAAAACAAGTGAAAATGAAAATAATTATAAAAGTGAATGATTTCTTCACACCAAAAATAAAATTTCAAATTATAAATAAGAAATTCGGACCAAATTTGAGTGCCTGACGGCTTTTAAAGACAAAAATCCTTATAAAAATTGATTCCTTGTCTCAATTGTTAAATGAATTATTATGATCATGATTTAATTCCAACCTCGAACCGTGGTCAGAAGACTATTGAGATTCATCGTAAAACAACTCAAACTAGAAAATAGTATTGTGGAAATCTGTAGAAGCGAGGGCTAATGATTTGAAACGGGTATAAAATTATAATCGTACTGGATCAATAATTATTAAGTTGATATCTTATATGAACGATAATATAACATTCAATTCAATACAACATTGAAATCTTCGCTGACAAGAGTTCTTCCGCTGTTACGAAAAATTTCGTAATAAATTTTACTATTAGGCTTCTTGTGTGCCACATTTTCGTTAGTAGCTGTAACTATACCAACCTACGTAGTAACAATAATTTTTCCGTACTTATTTTGCTTTTTGCATTAATGACTACATTCATTATGCTTTTCGTACCCATGACTACACTACTTTATTATGCCTTCGCACTTTGACTACATTTTTGTTAGTAGCTGTAACTATAACTAACCTACTACGTAACAATAATTTTTCCGTACTTATTATGCTTTTTGCATTAATGACTACATTTTATTATGTTTTTCGTACCCATGATCACACTACTTTATTATGCTTTTCATACCCATGACTACATTTATTATGCTTTTCGCTTTATGACTACATTTTTGTTAGTAGCTGTAACTATAACTAACCTACTAACAAGATTTTTCCGTACTTATTGTGCTTTTTGCATTAATGACTACATTTTATTATGTTTTTCGTACCCATGATCACACTACTTTATTATGCTTTTCATACCCATGACTATATTTATTATGCTTTTCATACCCATGACTATATTTATTATGCTTTTCGCATTTATGACTACATTTTTGTTAGTAGCTGTAACTATACGTAACTATATTTTTTCGTACTTATTGTGCTTTTTGCATCAATGACTACATTTATTATGCTTTTCGTACCCATAGAAGACCTATATAAAGGGACTCTTTTTAGCCAAATTCGTGACATTGCTAAACCACTGAAAATAAGCAAAGGAAAAATTTATCCTTACTTTTGATGCCCTTATCGGCCAAACGTACCAGTTCTAGGGCTAACCGGTTACAATATCAACCAACTTGGTTATGGTCTAATCTGTCCATATTACTATATAGTGAAGACCAATGTTATAAAATTTGGTTATCACTATATAGTGAGAACCAATGTATAAATTTTATTATGGTTATTACACAACTTTAAAAAATGTTTCGAAAATTTAAAATTTTTATTGAAGTTTAGACTTAGTTCAAATTATGTCTGTTCTTCCTCCAAAGTGCATATCTTTATGTCGTATTTATACATGTTGGCAAAACCAAAAATCTTAGGATGTTCTATAGAATAGATGGGCAATATAAGAAATAAGCTTCGCTGATGCTTAGTAATGATTAATTGGTTAATAGCGG